AAAGATAATTTTCTTTCAGGTTGTAGTCACGAAGAACTCATTGTGTAGAATTTCAGACAATTTCATTGAAAAATCAAAAAATACCGAATATTGGGAGGTGGTCAAGATATGGTGGACCGATATAGCCTATCTTCGAACTTGACCTGCCTGCAGACAAAAGACAGATCTGTGCAAAATTTTAGCTTCCTATCTTTATTCGTTTTGACTCTAGAATGTTTACATCGGAGGGCGGACAGGGCTAAATCGTCTTTTAATTTTACGCTGCTCAAGAATATTCATACTTTGTCAGGTCTAAAATTAATATTTCGACGAGTTAGAAACGGAATGACGAACTTAATATGCCCTCCATACTAGGTATGGTGGAGGATATAAAAATACATTGTTATGGGCCTGTTTCTATATGACATCACGAAAGTGAGTGCAAAATTAATTGAAAAAAATCTACATTTTGAAAACACTATTTGGAATAATGATTTTATTACGCGCTCACGCGCTCGTATAATCAGTACCTTTATTTTTAAAATAACTAACTCCATGGCCCTAATTACCTACACGAAATGTCATAATTCAGGATAGGTACCTAACAATGTCTGATAATGTGTAGAATACTTCACTTGTCATTTTTCAACTGATCTGTACAAATTCGATCTACATATCAAATAAAATAAAATTCCGTTATAGAACGAAAAAAAAAACATCATTGATTGGGATATAAAAGCAAAGAATTCATTATTGTGGACATGTTTCTGTATGAGGATATGAAATGATCTTAATTCAATTTTTGATTAATTAAAAAGTGTAGAATTTAAAATTGTCATAAAGAATTGGGTTCTTTATATAATAACAAACAAGTGTTCATAATGTCATAATTCTGAGTGGGTTATTCATAATGTCTGATAATGTATATGATACTTCATTTTTCAACTGACATCTATAAATGCCATACAGAAATAAAATTCGTTCCACAAAGAAAAATGTTATTGATTGAAGCGTCATAGGTCCTTTTGATTTTACTTAGCTGAAACCAAAAAATAAAAACCGCGATGGATGATTATATTTTTACGGCAATTAACGTCCTAGCCCTCCGTTAATTACCTCGGAAGGAATGCCAAAACGGGACGGATAATGTGTAGCATACTTTAATTGCCGTTATTCAACTAACCACCAAAATAAAACACGTTCCAAGATGATTTTTTATTTACTCAACTGAGACTAGATAATAAAAACATTGCATTTATCATTCAACATTTTGATCATTGACATAAACTATTGCCCTTTTTCGCTCAACGACATGATATCATGTCCAAAGTATTTGCTGCAGGATAGGATTGGAGGTGTAAAGAAAATACATTCCCAATGAAAGTCCGAAGCGACCGGACCCCACCATGCACTGTCACCCCAGACCTCTACTCTGTAAGAATAGTTCGAATGCTACATCAATCACAGCAATATTGTATAGAAATAAAAAAACGACTGTCTGGTTTTAATCGTTGATTATATTCGAATTTGAATCGAAATTAAATTATGTAAATTAAATTCCATTCTTTTTTTCACTCTTTTTTTTGTGTGCAAGTTGACAAAGTTAAAAAAAATGAAACGAAAGGGAGACAAGAAGAAGGAGAAAACAAAACTACGTTTTTGTCCAATTGGCAGTGGGTTGAGTTCATTAGACAATTGAAGAGGAGTAAAGATAAAAATGCCGTCGTCTGAGGTAAAGAGGCTAAAATTGTGTTGGTGGTGGTTGTTGTTGTTGTTGCTGCTGCTTTTTAATGTAAGTGGTTAAGTTATTTTAAATGGGTTGTTGTTGTTGTGTCTTTGGTGTTTGTTGTGGCCCAAAGAATGCATTTCATTAGTGGTTGTTGTTATTGATATGCATTGATGTGTTATTGTTGTTATTGTAAGAAATATATTCACATTTCAATGATGTTGTTGGAACTTGTGTTTACCCTGCTCATTATGATTATTGTTATTGTTATTCAATTTCCAGACCATACATCCACCCAACTTCTTTAGTTGTCGTTGTTGTCGCTCTTTTATAACATTAGAATATGCCATACACGTTTTATATGCACTTCCTCTTAACTAGAATTGATAAAAATGTGTGCGTGCTTGGGGGTGTGTGTGTGTGTGTGTGTCTCAATGGTTTTCCTTCATTAGAATATTCTTTTTTTGTCGCTTTTCTTGTAAACTTCCCCAAATGCATGCATGTCCGCCTGCCTTACTTTCTGGTGTAAACACAGAAAAAAAACACAATTTATAAACATTCAATTCGTTTTGTATATTTTCCTTTAAACATTTATAGACATCAGTTTTATAACTTCCGCATACCTAGTTTATAAAGAATTTTTTGGAATCGTCAAAAGAATATTAAGCGTAATTTATTTGGCGCAGGTTTTGCAAAAATCAGCTGTTTTTCTAGTTAACGTTCCCATTGTGGAACACATTTTTATCAGGTTGGTAATGAGAGAAGAATGCAATAATGGTAAAAAGGGACAATAAATATTTAAGACCTCTAGGAAGGGGCCGTGTGAACAATGGCAATTAAAGTGGGGTATACACTATCGACCTTGCTAATTATTATTTGCATATATCGATGAATTTACACACTTGCCGAAACTATTAGATGCTAAATTGAGCATTTATTTGATTTTACAAGGCTATGTGCTGTCAATTTATTAATTATACCGTCAGACATATGGCTAAAGAGGGTATACAAGCTGAGATGAAAAAACTGCACCCAACTTCAGACTGGTGTCATTTCTAAGCCACTCGTCCGGCAGCTGTTAAAATTATTCCAGTGATAGTTTATTATATTGTTTACAAGCGTACAAAGCATTTTGGTGAGAATTTTCCAAAAAAAAAAAAAAAAACAAGTTATTCGTGATAGAATTCAAGCGTGATAGTGTGATTTCTTTATATTTGGCTGGAAACCCACAAGTGGCTATCGTTAGATCACTACAGCATTTAAATGTGAATAAATCTTTTGTGTCTCGTACCATCGCTCGTTACCGTGACCCGGTGATGGAAGAAAAAAGCAGCATCTGCAGAAATGGTTCGAAAAGTAAAGAGCGTCGACTTGATCGAAACCCGCGTTGCAGTGGCCGAAAAATGGCTCGTGAGCTGAACATATCGCAATATTCCATTCGGCAATTATTGAAAAATGAGCTCGGGGTAAAGCCATTGAAATTCCAAAAAGTTCAAGAACTTACACCGCAACAGAAAAAGGAAGAAAATAGACTCAAAAGAGATAAAGAGTTGCTTCGCTTGGCCGAAAGAATTGAACTGCGGAATTTGGTTTCCTCCGATGAGAAAACATTCGCCACAGTTGTCCAGCAGTTTGTAAAGAAACAAAATGATCGTTTTTACTTGCAAAAGAGGTCAGCTGAAAATGTGCACCTTCGGTTTGCCACCAGAACTCAAGCGCCGGCCATGGTGTTGGTGTGAGCCGCCCGCCATAATAACCGATTGTCGCTCTCCGCTCGTAATAATCGACTGTGGCATCAGAAAAAATGTCGAAAATTATCGCGAAAATATTCTGGAGGGTTTATTAAAGCCTTGGGCACGCAAACATTGTGGCCGCAGACCTAGGACATTCCTACAGGACTCAGCACCATCGTACTCAGCACGCGCCACCTAAGAGTGGTTACGCACAATGGCATACCAATCCGTTGGACTATTGTGTCTGGATTATTTTGGAAAGAAAGGTTGGCACTAAAAAATACCAAAGTGTCGATCACCTCAAGCAAGCGCTTCGCCGGGAATGGGCCAAAATACCTCAGAGCAACATTCGGGCAGCGTATGACGATTTCATTGGCCGTTTGAAGGCCATAATTCGTGCCAAAGGTTACCAATTCGAACAAATCTGAACTTATTCTAAAATTGAGTGCTATTTCCGACATTTTTTGCTTTCATTCAATAAAATTTAAAAATTATGACGTTTGAATTTGTTGCAGTGTTTTATCTCACCCTGTATATCAGCCTGCAAAACCGATTGATACTTTTTAACTCGTTTTATTAAAATCACGGTCTCATTTTTGGGCTTACTAAATAGAGAACGTATTTTCAATGGCCACAGAATTGTTTATAAACAAAAAATAATGTAGTGTGAATTAAAATTTTGCAAATTTTCTTTAGTTTATTTTTGTTTTCGGCTGGATGCGATTTGCATTTTAATTTGTTTTCCTATTTGGTTTGTTAATGTTTTAGTTTTACGTACATGGAATTGTGTTGCGTCGCTGCTTATGTACGTGTCCGTACATAAACAATGGCATCATGACTGACCTATGTATGTTTTGTTTGCTATCTATATAAAGTAATCAGTTATTTTGGTGTTATAATATCAATTATGATTAATGTATATTAGTCATAAATAAATTGTTTTTCGATAGGGTAATAATAATTATTTGTAATCAGTTGTTTGTTGGTTTTTCGTTTAATAATCTCTTAAGGAGAATGAAAAATTGATAACGACAATCTGATGTGTTGCCAGACACCTTTATGATTTCGTTGACAACAAACCCTATGTTAAACTTATGCATTTTTGCCATGATATAGTCGACATTAAACCCCAGGGCTTACTAAATCTGGTAAACTGTAACGTACTTTTATTAAATAACGAATTTATAAAAACCTAATAAAAATAAAATATTTCTCTTATTTCCCAATGGCAACATCATAAATATTTACTAAAATCCCTCTTCCATTTAATTTATTACATTTCCCCTAACAATTTCCATCCAAAATTTGATAATCATAAATCCAAACTCGTTGTGTGGCCAGTTAGCTATATGAGTTCAACGAAGAAAGGAACAAAAAAACAAACAACTCCCATTTCTCTCTTCGTCAAATTTCGTGGCTCCTTTAAACGATGTGCCATTTCTTTTGGACATACGTCAGTGTTAAAGAAACAACCTTTAATAATTAGATAAAAACAACACCTTTTTCTAAAAATAAACGGCACTTAAATTAACAAAAAAAGGGAAATAACATCACAAACTTACCACTCCACAATCAGCTGCCGGTGAATTTTCCACAATATCATAGATAACATGTGGGGGCCCGGTGGTGCCCAATAAAGAAAAACCAAAACCGGAATGATCACTGCTACGATGTAAAACCACTTTCAACTCTTCGGTTGTCATGTTTTTTGTTTCTTTCTTATTGTTGTTTTTGTTGTCGTTTTGTCTGCTTCAACTTGTTTTTATTTGCTTGGCAAAAATGGTATGGTCTAAATTATGGGAGGAATATTTGATATTTTCTTTTTATTTTTTTTCTTTACAATTTTACTTCGTTTGTCACAATTGTTGTTGTTGTTGTTTTATGAACTAAAATAAAAACAAATAAATAAAATCATATTTTTTCATAAATATAAGATTTTTTTCTGGTTCTATTCAATAGCTTCCTTTTTTCCTCTTTCTTTGTAGTACATTAAAAGTTTTGTTGTTTGTTGCACACTTTTTTTAAGCTAACAAAGAAGATTTGCCAAAGGTAAAACCACACTTGCACGCAGGGGGTGATTGGGGGGGGAGGTTCTTTATACTACTGCAACGTTTGATGACGAAATGTTTGCTGGCAAAGTATGAGTCAAGTCGTCAATAAGTTGTCGTTTGCCTGCCTCGTTGATGTTGTTGCAATACTCGTTGTTGTCGACTTCGGCGTCGTTGTCGTCGTCGTTATAACAGTAGCTGCCACAGCAGCATGATAAGGTTAAACACGAATCCTTTCTATAATGTTATTATCGTTGTTTTTGCTTTCTTATAGTAATCTGCTGCTGCTGACCAGATAAGAAAGAGGGAATGAATAAAATATGTACGATGGAGTTATATTTGAAATAAATTAAACCAACAACAAAACCATACACAACATCACATCTCATTTGTAGAGCTTGTTGTTGTTTTAACGAACGCCGCGTGCTAACGATTTTTTTGCACAACTTTCTAGATTTTCAACATCTTAATGGTTTTAGTTTAAAAAAACTCTTTTTTTTTTGTTTCGTGTTATTTTAGCAAATTACATTTTTCATATTCCTCTCTCCTGTTTTGCTTTGTTTGTTTCTTTCTTTCTTCGTCTTGTAATTTATGCTTAGTTGCATTTGAAATGCTTGACTGCTGAATGAATGAATGAATGAGTTTGTTGGTTTTTGGGCTTGGTCGGCGGACTCGATTCACCTCGACAACACACAGTTAAACGCAGTCAGTCGTCTTCTTGTCGGGCATAAACACAACACGACAAGATGTCCAAAAAAAATATCAAGGTAATTCCTGTCTTGTAAAGCGAACAATATTATTCAATACATTTTATAATATAAAATGTTTTCTTTGAAAATTTTCCTGGATAAAATCACTTTTTTAAGCCGGCCTCGATTATCAGTCGTCGTCAATACAACAACAAGAGGCAATCACCGCAGCAGAGCAAAACCCTACTCACACTCACTCAGTCGTCATCAACGTCGACTGCGACGACGACAACGTTTCTGCCTTCAATGAGATGTGTTTGTGTGTTCTTTTATTTCTTCTCTTCTTTAATTCCAGCGTCACCACTTTTTTCGCAAATGCACTTGTTTTATTTTCAACGCCTTTCAGCGTTTACTCTTCTTTTCTTCTATTAAATCAATACAAAATTTATCACCTCAACTTTTGTGGCAGATCACAAACAATTTTCCTCGACTTCTTTGTGAATTTTCCATAAAACACACTTTTTTCTGGTAGGAAAAGAATCCAGTTTTTGTTTTACCGTCACCACCTCTTTTTTTTCCAACAAACACACACGCACGCACGTACACACAATTATTTGACTTCTGCTGCTGTTAATTTTTATTCGGTTTTACGAGAAAATAAGAAAACCCCTCTCAACGAGGCATTTGTTTTTCATTAACGAAATTCTGTTTTCTTTTCCATTTTGTTGTTTTTTCTCCTGCGAACACGATTTTGTTGTAATTTTCCTATTTGCAGGGATATATATATTTTTTTGGAATTATGAAAATTCTCTTTTGAAAATGGTTTGTACAACACAACCAACCGACGACCGCACTAATTCACTTTAAACTATGTTATATTTATGTTGGACCAGGGACACTTAAATCGATAAGTAGCTAATCGATTAATTCGAGAGCAAAAAACCGACAAATCAAAGTCGTCTTTTGCGTAGGTAGAAAGTAATCGGTTTCTTGTTGTACTCATTATGTACGGCAAATGATATTATCTTAAATTATATTTTTCTTATTTACAATAGAAAATCTATTAATCAAAATCATAGTAATTAATAGAGGGTAAAAAGAAATAAATTAAAAAATCTATGAAAAAAAAATAAAAATCGATAAGCGATAAACAAGTTAAGAGTGCACCTTTTACATGGACGTACATAGTATACATGATTTTTTAATGTCATGTTCTCACTGGCATGCATGTGCTTTTTATTGTCATGTTCTAATTGATATTTTAATTTAAGGTTTTCGCTCTTGGAATCGCGTGCAAGAATAAAAAACAGTTCATACGGTATAAATCGTAATTTTTAAAGCCTGATTAGTTTGAGCTATTGGAAAATTATTTAAAACAGGACACAAAAAATTCAGAAAAATGCATGAAATATTTATTTGAATGGATTAACCAACGCTCACAAGAAAATAGATAAATAACATTAAATCGCACGATCTAGACGTTTTCAGAAGGTGAGGTAAAATGTTCACCACATGTTGAAATCACATAGCATGCAAGAAAGCTCTGGAATTTTGGGTTAAAAAATTGGATATCATCTTTAAAGATGTACAATGCAATGGTGTCACCACCCCACTTCACTAAACTAAAGGTGCAAGCATGGCTCAATAAGTAAGGTTGCTCAATGCAACTCTGTAAAGGAGTCTTATACATGGTGAGATGAAAAAACTGCAACCAACTTCAGATTGCTGTCATTTCTAAGCCACTCGTCGGACAACTGTTAAAATTATTCCAGTGACAACTCGTTACATTGTTTACAAGCGTAAAAAAGCATTTTGGTGAGAATTTTCCAGAAAAAAAAGTTTTTCGTGATGGAATTCAAGCGTGATAGTGTGATTTCTTTATATTTGGCTGGAAAAAAGTGGCTATCGTTAGAGCACTTCAGCATTTAAATGTGAATAAATCTTTTGTGTCTCGCACCATCGCTCGTTACCGTGATACTGGTAGCGTAGCCCGACGTCAAGGAAGTTGACAGAAGAAAACAGCAACGTCAGCAGAAATGTTTCGAAATGTAAAGAAGCGACTTGATCGAAACCCGCGTCGCAGTGGCCGAAAAATGGCTCCTGAGCTGAACATATCGCAATATTCCATTCGTCATTCGGCAAATATTGAAAAATGAGCTCTGTACAAGAACTTACACCGCAACAGAAAGAAAATAGACTCAGACTCAGAAGAGCCAAGAGTTGCTTCGCTTCGCTTGGCCGAAAGTGGTGAAATTCAGAATTTGGTTTTCTTCTATGAGAAAACATTCGCTACAGTTGCCCAGCAGTTTGTAAACAAACAAAATTATGGTGTTTACTTGCCAAAGAGGTCAGCTGAAAGTGTGCACCTTCGATTGGCCACCAGAACTCAAGCGCTGGCCATGGTGATGGTGTGGGCCAACATAACAGCCGATGGTCGCTCTCTGGTCGTATTAATCGACCGTGGCTTCAGAATAAATGCCGAATATTTTCGCGAAAATATTGTGGTGGGTGTATACATGTTTTGTCAGAATAGGGACACTAAAAGAAAGGTGGAGATGGCTTTGTTCTACCTTCTGTAATTGTGCCATGAGTAAACGTATTTAACTTTTTAACTCATCCGATCAGACCAGCTGATTTAAATTTAATATGTTTTTGTTTTTTTTTTTTCATAATCAAATTTATTGTGATTGTCAATTATCGTTGTTAACCCGGTAAAAAAATTGCATGTAAACGTATGTCTGCAACCAATTTCCAGAGCCCTTTAGACCGCCTTTCTTCGATCTTCTAGAACCCTTCACCAATCGAAAGTCGACTGACATAACCCTAATGTCATTATCATCATTAACGAAGAAGTCGTGTTCTTTGCGGTACCTTTGGACAAATTAAAAAACTTGAAACTCATTACTAAACGAAAATCTTATACCCCTCAACTTTAGATACGAATTAAAAACAAAGGAACAAAATGAACGCAATCTCTGGACTTGTTAAGGATACTCTGCCAAATTATTTGTCAAGCTTGCCTATTCCAGATAGCTTTGGAGGCTGGTTCAAATTGTCGTGTAAGTAGTATGTCACTCACTAAAATGCAAGGCATTTCATGCAGGGGAATGCAATAGCAATGAGATTCGAAATGAGTTGTCAAAGAAAAAAAAAAACCGGAATGGACTTAATTTATTCAAAACTGGAGCCCAAAATTCAAGTCAATATTTTCAGCTTAATAGGTGGCTTGTTATCTGTGTGTGTTTTTTGCCGTTTATCGGAACGTGCAGCTAGATTAATTTAATTACCCTTTCTTCTAGTCATCCGTCATCGTTGTTTTTGTTGCAAATTATATTCGTAGATTATGCAACAAACAATTTTTTGCCAACTTTGGAACTATGTTTTGTTGTTGTTGGTGGTGGTATTTTGTCGTACTATATTCAGTGTGTTTTCTTTCATTTTATTCTGTTAAGTTTATGCGTGAGCTTTTATTTTATAGTTGTAGTAATAGCGCCAAATAGCATGTTGTTGTTATATATATATAGTTCATGTTGTTTTTTTTTATAAATATTAGGTTGTTATTGACCTCCTTTTTTGGTTTGTTTAATTATAAACTATTCTTCGTTGTGTTGTCTTTATGCCGCTTCTCTTTTTTATTTATTTATTGACTGCTGCTGATGTGAAAGATAAGCTAATGGGGGAGTCTAAAATAATCATCTGGAATTTAATTAAAATTTCTTAAAATGAATGACTAGTGAAAAGAATTGATATGAAATAATAATATGCAAGTGTGGCTGTCTTGCATATTTTTACCTTCGGAGGTATATAGCTTACATCATGTGATTATGGAAATATATACATATACCTAGGTGAATATTTTTATGTCATTTATATAAAACATACATGTCTAAAGGAATATTTACTTATGGGCTGCCCCGTCTAGCAATTTCTTTGTGAGGAGAGTTTATTTATTTCTACCCCCGATATCCGGTATTTCGTTGATTGTAGCCAAATTTTTCAATGAAATTGTCTGAAAATCCACAAAGGGAGTTCCTTCTGAGTACCTTCACCGGAGTTGTTTCAAATTTCGTATTTGGAATTCGTAATGGGTACCACAGCCTATGACAAAAAATTGTGTGTTCAGGCCCACGTTTTAGTATAGCTTCCATATAACGGTACCTCCCAATATTCAGTAGTTTGTTGATTTTAGCGACATTATTCACCGGAGTTGTTTCAAATTTGGTATTTGAAGTTCGTAACGGATACTACAGCCTAAGACAGAAAATTGTCTGTGTAGGTCCACGTTTTGGTATAGCCCCCATATAATAGTTCTTGCCTATATTCGGTATTTTCTCGATTTTAACGACATTATTCATCGGAGTTGTTTCAAATTTCGTATCTAGAGCTCGTAATAGGAACTAGAGTCTATGACGGAAAATGGTCTATGCAGTTCCAAGTCTTCGTATATTCCCCATATATCAGTATCTCCCTATATTTGGTATTTTGACTATTTTAGGTACAATATTCACTGAAAATGTTTGAAATTTCGTATTTGAAGTTCCTAATCGGTACTACAGCATGTGAGAGAAAATTGTTTATGCAGGTCCCGCCTTCGTAAAGGCCCAATATATCAGTTCCACCCTATATTCGGTATTTTGACGATTTTAGTTACAATATTCCCCGAAATTGTTTGAAATTTCGTATTTGAAGTTTTTAATAGGTACTACTGCCTGTGACAGAAAATTGTTTATGCAGGTTTAGGCCTTCGTATAGCCTCGATATAATGGTACCTCCCTATGTTCGGTGTTTTGATGATTTTAGCTTCATTTAACCGGATTTTTTTTCAACTTTCGTATTTGAATATTTTAATGGCTTACGACGAATTTTGCCTATGCAGATCCATGTCTTCGTATAGACCCCAATACAACGGCGACTTCCTATTCGGTATTTTTAAGATTTTTACAGACTTTTTAAGGGATTTTATTTTTTTGAAAATTTCCAAATTCGTTCCAGTTGGTGGAGGGTATTCAAAGTTTGGCTCGGCCGAACTTGCTGTTTTTTTACTTGTTGTTTTTAATCCCTCCGTCATAAAATGAAGGTAATTTATGTCTGCAATATCTCGAAATAATCGTCACTCGAATCATCCCATTTGCTTTACATCTTCACCAAATAGTCTACAATACTGATCTCCGCTAAGGGAGAATGGGGACAATGTTATGAGTCTTGTGATTTCCGTGTGGATTTTTAAATGTGGAACTTACTGAGTCTGTCTATGAAATGACAGAGCATTAGATTGAGCAAATGCAAGAATGCCTTCCTGAGAACTGTAACAGGGTGCCTCCTGTGGACCATTTACCGTCCAGCACTCATTAACGTGAGACACAGGTTGGTGGGGAAACAAGTGTCACATGATTTGTCTTCGTTCTCTAACGCTGACCCTGCAGTAATCCTTCAATTAGCCAGAAGACTTAAGTGGCTAAAGACGACACGGCAAAATTTCTAGCCGTCAATTACTCTCATAACTCGTATTTCCTATCAATAATTTATCCTTCTTCTACTTTATTCATTTAACACAATGCACCAGCAGGTTGTCGAGTTTAGCGGTAATGACTACCCAAATCCCACATCTTCCCTTTAATGATAGTCGTAATTTTTAGCACTGCAACAATTTCTTTCCGCACTTGTAGGAGCATCTGATGGTTGGTTCTTTACAAAACATACCAGTTTCATAGAATACTTGCGTGTCCAAATCGTGGTCCCCTCCAAATGCTTAAAATCACATTTTAATACCTTGAACTTAAGAACATAAGATACAATATTTGAATATTTTATACACTCGGGTTAGTATTATCTGAAATCGGAAATTTCTGTTGCCAATATCTATTCATAGTCCAGATAATTTTAATATTCCTCTTAAACCTGTCGATAAACACTTCCTCAGTATGGCTTGTCTTTAATAGAAACTTTTCCTTTTCTTTCATTTCCACAGTCAAAGATTGGTTAGCCCTCATTCCACCCACCGCCGTTGCTGCCGGTATTGGCTATACCGTTTACTTAGCTTACTGCCCCGCTGCCAAAGGTGGTTGTTCCAAGGCCGGACGCTGTAATCAATCCGTGCGCAAACATGAAGCTAAAGTTGTCGACATGATTGACATTGAAAATATTGCCGAAAAGGCTGCCTTCTGCCGCTGCTGGAAGTCAAAGAATGTAAGTGAATTTAGTAAAAAAAAAACACAATTTATAATTTTTAATAATGAATTAAATTCTCTTCCCCATAGTGGCCCTATTGCGATGGCAGCCATGGTGAACACAACAAACAAACTGGTGACAATGTTGGCCCCGTGGTGCTTAAGAGAAACTCTTAGATATAAATAGGAAATATGATGCTATAGAGGATTTCCTAATCTAGCCTAGCCTCTGTTACAGGTTTCTTTTCTTTTGCTTCTGTTGAAAATATGTTCTTTACTTTTGTTTCTATTTAATTTTTGGATCGGGCCCAACGAAAGAGCATTGGTGTCGTCTTGTTGTATAAGTAAATACATATATTTTTTCGCCTTTTTTATTTGTTGCTCTAATTTGCCTTTATTAACTCTACATTTAAACCATTAATGGATATTAATTGATCATAAATTAATAATAATATTGTCTAAGAATTTAATAATTAAATTGTGGCAAATTTTTCTCCCCAGAAAAAGAAAAACATAACGGAAATTTTTATTTGTGGAAAAAAGCATGAATGGATGGATGCACCAAAGCTTTGTGATTGGAGAACAATTTATTTGAAAATAAACTTTTCTAATGGCATAAGTCAAAATTATGGAAGGACGAATTCTCCTCTATAATATGACGTGCACAAAACTTGTATTAGGGCTACATTAAAAATATTGTTTAAAGATAAAATTTAATAATGCAATTTCCAGCGATTGTAGAATTTTTGAGGATTAGATATTGAAAGAAGAGTTTTTTCAGAAAATTTTAAATTTATGAAACCCTACATAGTTTCTATTGATAATAGAAACATTTAAAAGCCTTGTATTGAATATAGAAGCCCCAAAGGGCCTCCAATTTAGAGATACCTGAAAGTCATTCTATTGAAGGTTCTGAAATACACACGTTTATTAAGGCTCAAACATCCACGTTTACAAAGGATCAGAGGCCTTTCAAAACGATGTTTACAAAGACTAAGATTCTATAAAAAGATCACATTTGTACGGTGTCTAAGGTCCTTAAAACCCCAAGTTTATAAAGGCTTTTAGTTCCTTTAAGACCCAAGTTAAAAAGAGACCCTAAGGCTCTTTGATACTTCCCCGTTGATAGAGGATCGGAAGACTCCAAAATCGGTTCTTTAAAATTCTCTGTTTAATCAAATTTTTAATTCAAGTCAAATTTTCAAAGAAATGTTCTAGAGTCCTTTAAACCCAGCTTTTATCAAGGCTCTAAAGTCCTTTAAAACATGTGTTTAATACGTAGCGACTTTCACATTATATTTACCTTTGGTATAGCATACTTTTAGGCGTTACAAAAATGTTTAAAATGAAACGCTCCTTCGATGTTAATAACGACTGGGTTTGGTTTGTGGATGCGCATGACAGATGCTTCACTCAGAGACTTTTGGCCCATTGTGTTCATCCAAGGAAGGATTAAGAAGTGATAAAAGAAAGGAAAAGATAAAAAGGAAAAAAAAATGAAAATGGGTTGTGGTGATGTATTAATAGTAGGATGCCCCTCCCCGAGCTTATTTATCAGTCATTTTATTCCTCATTATGGCCTTGGTTCTAGGCCAACCTTTATCCAAGAGTGCATTACTTCAATCATGAATGGCTCTCGATTTGATGGCATGTGACTTGATAGCTTTAAGAGTCACCTGTCTTTCGACATAGATAGTGAATTTGTCCTGTTGTAGTATTGCTAAGTTATCTTACCATTTCGTATGCTTTCTTGATTGCCACGATCTGTGACTGAAAAGGCCAGAAAGTTTTAGATATCTAGATATCAGGTCTTTTCTGCAATCATGAATTTCTCTCGATTTGATGGCTCTTAACTTGATAGCTTCAGGGGCCGCCTATATATCGTCCATTCTATTGCAAGCCTTGCGGACGCTCACGATAATATCTTCTTTTTGTAACCGCTATATTGTACTTCCTCAAAATTTTCGGCCCAGGGCTTATGTTTAATTTACGTGCTATGCTCGGATTGACCTAAAATTTTTATCACCAGTGGAAATTTTTAACCTGATTACGGCAAAGTGATATTTTCGTGGGGAAAATACCCGGTTATTCGACCCGAAGATCCGGATACAAAGTCCGGTTTTTATCCGGTTGTACAATATGGGTATCATTTAAAAGCTTGTGTAAGCGAACATATGATGAGGTTATTTTAACCAGTTCGGAGGCACTACACGAAAGTTGGTATTTTTGTGACGGAACACTCTCAAATAGTTGATAATGGGGGATCCCATTGTGGGGTAATAGTCTATACTATTGGCTATTAAAAATATGACCAAATATGTCGATATCTCTTGTAGTTACCGAAGATATTGGCTTTAAAATGTCTCTTATGGCAATAGTTTTTAATGAAACTAAGTTCTGTATCGGAATTAAGGTAAACTTATATGTTGGACATGGACCAGATGAGAAAATCCCAGATTGAATATAGTTTTGACACATGGCAGTGGAGAAAATCTACGACCAATAATTTCTACGACCAATAATTTGGGAATATAGTGTAGGCTATTATATAACTTATATAGAACTCATTACCCAATAATGGACCCCGACTTTTGTGCTGGTTCTCCAAAAAGTTCATCTAACAAAATACTAAGTTTTTGTATTACAATAACTAGTAAGTTATTATAATAACTAGTAAGTTCCCACTAAACATTCACCCTTATCGCGTAACAAATTTTCCAAAAAAAAAAAAAATTCACCATTCCCAAAATTGCAATCATGCACTTTTTTTCACAAAAGTTAACAAAAAGAAATTATAATTATATTAATGGGGATTCACAATTGTCATGCGAACAAATATTCACAATTTCTACGCGATAAGGGTGATTGTTGTCGTCAGGCTAAAAATACTTTCCTATGACAAAAATTTCAAAATTACCCGCGAATAGCCTCTAAATTCAAGTTGTACCCGGCTGCCCTGTCTGTTTATCATTTTTCGTTTTGTCCCTTCGATGATCAACGACTCTTCTCTATCTAGTTTTATCAGCAAGTGACTAATCAAGTTATGCTGGACGGCGAAATATTTTTGGCAACGGTGATGTCATTCGGCCACCGATAAAAAAAAAACAAAAATGCCATAATTCAAAGATTGGCAAAACTAGTTTGCCAATAATGAATGAGCCGCACCCATTGGCAATCATCCCTACAGCATTGGGGGTCAATGATCTTCAATGAACCCAAGAGCTTTTGTTCTGCCAAGGACTTTTATCAGCAGCAACAATTAGTTTACCATCATCTCTACCGAAAAGGCAACAAACGTCGGATGACAAAAAACTTGCAACTTCTTTAGTTTTGTGTTTTCTTTTGTTTTTGTTTTTTAATAAATTAAAATGAAATATTTATATATTACACGCTATGAGCATTCCGAGCATTTTATGAAAAAAATAAAAAAAGGAATATGTTTTACAAAAAAACATTGTTTTTAATTACATATATAAAAAAAAGAAGGCGAGAGAAAGAATACAATGCAAATACAATTAGAACGTGGTGTTTATCCTTGGGGAGAGTGTGCAGGAGTTAAATGGCATTGTTGTTGGTTTGTTTTTGGAAAATATCACACTCCTCGGCGTTCGTTTTCAGTTTGATGTCGGTCTGTCTCAAGCCCATTATCAATGTTGGTAGTGTTGGGAGGATAAACGTAACGTACGTAAATGTTTTAAACATAAATAGTGTAGCTGTTTGCTGTTGTTGTTGTTACACGACGCGCACACACGATGACGACGATGATGACATTATTTATTTATTGCTACAACTGCGCAAAGATTTATTTGAAGATCTTGCCTTGATTGAATTTACGGCCGTCTTTGTCGGTGCCAGTCCATGAGAAGTATTGTTCAACCAATTTCTTGGTTTCTTCGCTCTTGGGATCCAATTTCTTCCAGTCATAGACTTCATAATCGACCTGCCAGTCGGGGCTCAATGTGAAGGCGAGTTCTTGTCCGCGCCACACCCAGATACCGGAGATGGTCGAGTTGTTGTCCTCACCGAACAAGCACATGGAGGCAAAGGCTTGCTTGCGCATCTTGTCGATACGTTGGTACATGCCACCGATCAAATTGCAAGACATGAAGGTCTTGGTCAATTCCTCGTTGTATTTGTATTCACCATACCAGATGGAGTAGTGTTCGGGATCGAACTTTTCCCAGAAGTATGGAATGGACACTTTCTCATCTTCGTTGGAGTAGACGCGTTTGAAGTCATCGAAATTGAAGGTACCCTTGGGCAAGGCATCGAAGGGATCCTTGGACTTGGGTTCAGCGGCAAGAGCCAAATCGGCAGCATCGAGCTCCTCCTTTTTGGGTTCTTCCTTCTTGGGGGCGGGCTTCTTCTCCTCCTTGGCCTTCTTTTCTTGTTGGGGTTTGGCACCACCGGTCTTAGCTTGGAATTCGGCGTATTTCTTGGGATCGAACACCAAGGCCTTGTCGCAAAGGCTGTAGTTGCCGACGACAGCCTTAACTTGCTTCTGGTTCAAGATGGTGTTGAACCAACGGTTCAAGTTGGTGTATGGCTTGCGGGCGGCAGCATCCAAAACATATTGGTAGACATGCAACAGACTGCAGAACACAACAATATCGGCCAAAGTGATACGTTCACCAACCAAGTAGGTGGATTCCAAGAATTTCTTGTTCAGCAAGTTCAAAACAACTTCAACGTCTTGTTTGGCAGTGTTGCCCTTCTGCTGGGGCATGATGCCCAACAAGGGGAATACCAAGGCACAGGAGGCGGGGACGATTTCATTGTCGGCGAATGACAGCCATTGTTGGACCTGGGCTTGGGCGAAGGGGCATTTGCCACCACGCAATTGTTCACTGGCCAAGAAGTAGGCGATGGCATTGGATTCACTGAGGAACTTGCCGTCCGATGTCTCGAAAGCAGGAACCTACAACAACAACAAAAACAATCCTTTATTAAACAGAACAACATAACCTCACTTTCGGCATTTTTCAAGCAAATGATGACGTTTACACACCGTCATAACCGGCTGTCAAACACCACGCCATGAGGAAATAACATTGTTTTGCCCTGACTTACCTTACCGCTGGGGAACTTCTTCAAGAATTCAGCCGACTTATTTGTTTCGCCGAAAACAAAATCGCTAGCAACTTTCACTTGAGCGCCCGAGTATTGGGCAGCAATCAATGCCTTGTAGGCACGGAAGTTTTCTGGGTATGTGTATAGAGTCTACATGGATGGTGAAGAAAGGGGCGAGAGAGAAAAAATAGAAAATTCCATATTAATTAAATTCGACAATTTCCGGGTTTTCATCCAGCATTCCATTGTCGGGCAATGGAAAAAGGATGTTTTGGATATTTAGCGAAATTTTATCACAGAATTTTTTTACTTACTCCTGCCATCGTTGATTTTGCCGGAAAGAAGGAGGACAGTCGCGAAATTTACGTGACAGTGTGACAGTTGAAACGTCAAAATGCAACAACAACAACTTTGATGACCTTGCAAATTAAATGACAGCGTACAGGGCGTAAGGCGACTGTCAACTGGTAGAGTTGTTATTCTGACAGTGGCGTATAGATGTTATTAACACTATGTTTACACAAGGTAAGAAATATAAGATCAGTTGTGTGTGGCGAGAAACCAAACAATTTTTTTATTAGGAAGTTTTTATATTAAATGGCGACATAAGGGAACAAAAAATCTGTTATGATTTTTCAAATTGTTAACCCTCTATGGACTAGGTTCTGAAGAAGTGGGCCAATATTCTCTATTTCGCATCGGACCTAAATAAATTTGATATAAATATTGCGACATGTCAGGTTTGGACTATTTTGGTTGCTTCCTCCACTTTATTTAAGATATGTAATAATTTTTAGAAAATCTAATTCTGAAATTTTAGAAAATATGCGTGAGGTACCAGATATAGTCGACCGAATTACAGATATCGAGCTTTTAAGGGCTAAGTACATAAGAAGCTTGAAGTCATGCCTAGGCATGTTTTGTGACATTTCACAAAGGGATTACAGAGCCGCACTAAAATCCAGCCGTCGCTTTCCATTATAATTTGAAATTAATATGCCTAGCCATGACTTCAAGCCTCTTATGTACTTAGCCCTTTATATCCAATTTCAAGCAAAATCATAAATTCCATTTTCATCTCAGGTTTCTAGGCAAGAGAAATATTTAGATACAGCGTGAGATGAAAAAACTGCAACCAACTTCAGACTGCTGTCACTTCTAAGCCACTCGTCCGACAGCTGTTAAAAATAATTCCAGTGACAGTTCATTATATTGTTTACAAGCGTACAAAAGCATTTTGGTGAGAATATTCCAGAAAAAAAGTTATTCGTGATGGAATTCAAGCGTGATAGTGTGATTTCTTTAAATTTGGATGGAAAACCACAAGTGGCTATCGTTAGAGCACTCCAGCATTTAAATGTGAAAAAATATTTTGTGTCTCGTACTATCGCTCGTTGCCGTAATACTGGTACTGGTAGCGTAGCCTGACGTCAAGGAAGTGGACGGAAGAAAACAGCAAAATAAGCAGAAATGGTTCGCAGTGGCCGAAAAATGGCTCTTGAGTGGTGAACTGCCGAATTTGGTTTTCTCCGATGAGAAAACTTTCGTTGTCCAGCAGTTTGTAAACAAAATGATCGTGTTCACTTGCCAAAGAGGTCAGCTGAAAATGTGCACTTTCGGTTGGCCACCAGAACTCAAGCGCCGGCCATGGTGGTGGTGTGGGCTGCCATAACAGCCGATGGTAGCTCTCCGTTCGTATTAATCGACCTAATATTATCGCGAAAATATTCTGGAGGGTGTATTGAAGCCTTGGGCACGCAAACATTTTGGTCACAGACCTTGGACATTCCAAAAGGACTCAGCACGCGCCACCCAAGAATGGTTACAAAATGAGGTTCCTCGCTTCATTTCCAGCGCACAATGGCCACCAAAATCTCAGGATATCAATCCGTTGGACTATTGTGTCTGAAGTATTTTGGAAAGCAAGTTTAGCACTAAAAATACCAAAGTGTCGATCACTTCAAGCAAGCGCTTCGCCGCAAATGGGCCAAAATATCGTAGAGCAACATTCGGGCAGCGTGTGACAGTCTCATTGGCCGTTTGAAGGCCATAGTTCGTGCCAAAAGTGACCAATTCGAACAAATCTAATTCTAAAATTTTATGCTATTTCCGACATTATTTTGCTTTCATTCAATAAAATTTAAAAAAATAAAAATTGTAGCGTTTGATTTTGTTGTAGTTTTTTTATCTCACCCTGTGCATAGTTTTTGTCATAGCTCAATAAAAAAGAGTTGCTCAACTTCCAGGAAGCTAGGAAAATGCAACTCTATACTGGAGTATATTTAAAATATATGTATATTTAATATATATGTTAATATCAAATGCAGTTACAAGACTATAGCTTTAGAATCGCGTTTTTAAAATTTATGTCCTACTTTGTAATATTTGTATAATACCAAAAAGTAATACATTTACGTGATTTTAATTATGGAAGACACCCTGTGACTAGTTTCCCCCCACACTCGTAGCATAACATGTGAAACACCCTTGTTATGTGTCAAAAACTGCACCGTGTTACCACATCAATGACATTTGCCTGCAAACGGCATTACGGCGGCATCTATCATACATCTCGCCTCGGTTATCTTTCGTTGTACACGAAAAAGATGGAATATCAGCCGTTTTTGTCCGGCCCGTGCAATTTTTCACAAAATTTTATCAATTAATTAACTTTTTTGCATAATATTCTAAGCGAAAAGTGAAGAAAAACAACTAAAATCTATGCATAAATAAAAGTTTAAAGGAAATCAACAAAATTACCAAGCAAAAAAGCTAGAAAAAGTCGGTGTAAAAGTTTTTTTTTTTTGCGAAATAGAAGACAAATGGTAGAAAAGAAGGCGAAAGAAAGCGAGACTACGACGACGACGATGTAAATGTTGAAAAGAAAAATAAATCAAAGTGAAAAAAGTTTTTTCTTTTTTTTTATTATAAAAAGCAAGATATTCAGGAATATCTCTAGACAAAAGGAGTGTGTGAAAATTTGATGATAATTTTTCGTAAAAAGAGTTGGTTTATAGAGTGTTGCAGCAGTGGCACCTGAAATTCCAATTTATGTGGTGGTTGCTGGTGTATGTGTGCGACGTTGAAGGAAAAAAAAACTAAAAATTTTCCCAAAAAATAAAGAAATTACCAATCATTTTCCATATGAACTAATTAAATTCCCATGTTCATTCGTCTTGCCACCAGTAGCAGCAGCATATAGAGTGGGGACGATTGGAGGCAGAATTGTGGATTTTTTGGATTTCTAAGCCACAAATGCATGGCGTTCAAGCTGAATATGTAAGTTTGCTATTTGCTTTTTCAAAGTGAGTGTTGTGTTGGTGGGTCGGTCGTTCGGTCGGCGATGATGGCTAACAATCAATGAAAAAACGTATTTCCATTAGTTTTGTAAGCAAGGCAATCCATCATTGCATATGATGATGGCGTTGCATATTCCTGCAATGTCTTGCTGCGTTTTGTTTTTTTTTTCATATAAAATTTATGTCATCTCTGGTGTAGTATTTTTGATAAATGAATTTGTCCCTGTTTTTTTTTTTGTTGGTTGCATATTCCATTTGCTTTTGTTTTATTATTTGGTTGACTTTTTTTCCTACTCTTGGCTATTCGGGTTTGTCGGTCTCGCTCTCTTTTTCGGTGCTACCTCTCTCTTGAGCCGTATATGAAAAAACACGGTGTCGCTCTTTCTCTCTTTCTCTTCCCCTTGTTATATCTTGTTTTTTTCTTTTTTTAAAGCAGACATCATGAACAACAACATGTAATAACAAAATTTTGTTAATTTTTTTGTGTTTTGTTTTTATTATTTTTTGTCATTGTTAATTTTTGTGTGAGTGTGGAGAAAGTTTAAGGAGAAGCAAAAGGGGGAAGGGGGTAAATTCTGTGTGTGCATTGTTGATATTGCCATTTAATGTGAGCCTATTGTCATTCATTGTTGTTTTTGTTTTGTAACATTGCATATAAACGACACGGAGACCACGACGACGACGACGTTACCTAACCTTAGATAACTAGACAAACTAACGGTTTGTTCTATGTGTGCGTGAGTGTGTTTTTGTAGTATGTACATGAACGGACAAGTGTAATGTAGTGCTGCTGCTGCTGCTACCACTGTTGAGACAGGGTGTCGATGCCATACATGCCGTATAATAATTCTCCCCCTTTTCATGTGATTGCTGCCAGTGTTTTGTTGTTTTTGTATTCATTCTTCTCCCTGTTATTGCAATTTTCCCAACTATTCTCCATGTGATGAGTTCTTATTTTACTCTGTCATTCACTGGGGGATTTAATTGACCAGGTTATGTTTTTTTCTGTTTCTGCTTCTTCTATTGTTGAGTTAGGAAAGCTTTTCTTCTTCTTTTTTCCATTTATTTATTGTGTATGATTTACAATTTATATCATCCACCACTACCGCAAACCCCTTGTAAAATGTGGTATTCTCCCTCTCCCTGGTGGTGTGGATGTTGCTGTTGTTTTTTTGTTGTGTTGTGTTGTTAAGCCTACCTTAACATTAGGTATGCAGAGCGTGACCTTCATTACAGCATTACTACGACGACAACAACTATTTTTATTACTATAGGTACCCAACTAGAAGAGGAAGAAGAAGATGTCGCTCGACGTTAGTTTATGTTGCACGGCAAGCAAGGGTGTGTGTGTGTGTACTACGCCTACTATTAGAATTTGCCATCACTCTCATTGCATGGGCTCGCCTACCCAGACATTTGTTGTCCAATCGAAGGGCATTGCATGGGCAACGGTTTGGTTTTGGATTTTGATATCATTCCCATCACAGTGGGAGATAATCGATAAAAATATTAATGGAAAATCAACATTAGCAGTGATTGACAGCTACCTACCGTTATCGGATGTCAACATTCTCTCTTTTTGACAATTTAATGCGCTTTATTTAGTTTGTTTGAATAAGGTAGTTGGAAAATCAAGCCATATGCCATATGGTTAGAGAGGGTATATATCATTTGATACGGACAAAACGTGCCTCATCGAAATAAAGGTTTTAGACCCTAGATCTCTTTGGACAAAATCCGTTTCAGGACATTTGTTTCGATCTAGCGATGTCCGCCCGTCCGTCCGTCCGTCTGTCTGGCTGGCTGGTGCGCAGGATAACACTCGAAGGGGGGAGTATACGATTTGATCCAAACTTGGGTCATTGTAATATTATTGTCAAACTTAGATCAAGTTCGGAGATGGACAATATCGGTCCACTCCTTCTGCTACCTCCCACACACAAATGTCAAAATGTTCGAAGAAAATAATTTACTGCACAGAAAGTGAAAGGATTATCAAACTTTGCTCCAACTTTGCGAATCCTAATATTTGCATCAGTGCAAGGTCAGGTGCGAAAATCGACAATATCGGTCCACTCTATTAAGTACCTTCCCCACAAAGGGTCAAAATTTTGAATAATTTTAACTCTTAAAAAATGTGATGTAACTTTCCGAATGTCTTCAAATTACGCATATCACAATATTTTTATGAATCCAAGGTCTGGTGTGAAGATGAAATATATCGCTTCACTCCTTCTGGTACCTCCACCACAAAGGGTCAAAATTTTGAATATTCATGAATAAAACGCTCAAACAAAGTGAGATAAGTTCTTCAAATTTCACAAATACAAACATTTTGTTAAGACAAGATCTGTTGCGAAGATGGAAAGGTAAGCGGACCCGATTTTTCATAGCATGACGCTTGTTATGATATTCATTAGAGGCTTCAAACTTGTCTCAATGACCCTTTCTTGGGTTCCTATGTGATTTCTTATGAATGCCTTCGACAGAGATCTGGGATATTATCTTTCGGTGATTCTACGCTCAGAGGAGTCTTTCCAGTCAAGTATAAGCGATTCATCTCAGTTAGTAAAGGTGAATTTAATTACGTCTTTCCTGTCCTGTGTTATGGCTACACCAGCTTACCAAAATCATATTCCTTATAGAACCAATACCTACTCAGGTGTGTTAGGAAGGGCCTACACGATCAAATGATATAGGGGAGAGTCTCTATAGCAAGAAACCTACCAGATCGATCTGAGTAGTACTCACGTTATTATCTAATAGGTAATTTATAAATGTCGTTCACGATCACCATATCTGGAACCGTTACCAAACACACTTATATACTGCTAATCACATCATTTTGCGAGATAAATATTGAAACGTATAATTATTGCTGTGAACCCATTTCTATTTTCATTCACTGGCGATGTCGACGATTGCTTAATCCGTTTTGATGATTGTTGCGCCACATTTATCGTTTGCGCGGTATTATAATCCATTTTGCTTTTTTATATTCCATATGAGCTAAAATACAATACAAACATTTCGAAAAGAAGAACAATTGCCTACTTTCCGTTCAAATAGAATGGCAATAATTTGTTTATAACTGTTATTTATTTATTTGCGTATGACTAATATTGTATTTGTTGTTGTTTTTTTTCGCTTTTTTTTTTGTTAATAATTGTTATTATCGCAAATTATAACAATCGTGTATACATACATTATATAATAATACCAATAATACTTTTGATTTTTATCAATTTATTGATAAAAGAAAAAAAAAAGTGGAAAATAAAAACAAAATTATTGATAATAAACGATTTACAATTGAGCACACTTGGAAATACCAAATTTGTAGGAGATATGAATTTCGGAGGTATTTTTACTTGTTCTTCAGCGGTATTTGAATACATACATACCCTCTAGTTAAAAAAGTTTGATATGATGACAACTTCACTTGGACCCATAAAGGTCTTTATCCTGCAAGAGCAGTAAAAGTAGACGAATTTTTGAACCTGGAGTTAGAACCAGATTTGCAGAACAAAACATGTGAAACTGTTACAACAACAACTTCCGGCAGCTTGTTTAATTTGTCTAATAAATAGAAAATTAGGACGATGTCCCAGGGCCGCTAGTCGGCAGGACTTGGGAACAGAAAAGCAGACCTTGTTGACTCATTATAACATGATAGCTAAGTTTTCTTCTTTAAAATAGAAGAAGACTTAGCTGGGGTATTGATAGACAAGAGCTATACCATTTTTTATACCCTCAACCATATGGCTATCGAGGATATATGTTATTTGATACGGCCAAAACGTGCCTAATCAAAATAAAGTGTTTAGACCCTAGGTCTCTTTGGACAAAAATCCGTTTCAGGACATTTCGAGTCGATCTAGGGATGTCCGTTCGTCCGTCTGGCAGACTGGCGCGCATGATAATTTTCAAAGGGAGAAACCGATTTGATCCAAACTTGATACATCGTAATATTATTGTCCAACTTAGATCGGGTTCGGAGATAGACAAATGTCGGTCCACTTCTTCTGGTACCTACCCCACAAAATGTCAATATTTCCAAAGAACGTGAAAGTATAATCCGATTTTGCTCCAACATTGCAAATCCTAATATTCGCATCAGTGTTAGGTCAGGTGAGAAAATGGACAATATCGGTTCATTCCATCAAGTATCTCCCCCACAAAGGGTCAAAATTTTGACAAATTATATCTCTTATAAAATGTAATGTAAGAGTCCGATTGTCTTCAAATAACACATATCACAATATTTTTATTAACCCATAGTCTGGTGTGAAGATGGAATATATGGGTCCACGCCTTCGGTACCTCCCCCACAAAGGGTCAAAATTTTGAATATTCATGGAGCTCATAAAACACGAAATTAACATTCGATTCCATTCAGATTTGGTACATCTCAATATTTGCATGAACACAAGATCTGTTATAAAGATGGAACATTCCTTCTTGGACATCCTCCACAAAAGGGTCAAAGTTTTAAATAAACAAAACGATCATAAAATCTGAAATATGTATCCGATTCTCTTCAAATTTCACACATCCCCTTATTTTTATTAACCCAAGATCTGGTGTGAAGATGGAATATATCGGTCTACTCCTTCTGGTAGCTCCAACACAAAGGATCAAAATTTTGAATATTCATGAAGCTTATAAAACGCGAAATTAACATCCGATTCCATTCAGGCTTGGCACATTCAACTATCCATCCATCAACGCAAGATCTGTTATAAAGATGGTAGAAATCGGACCATTTTTTCTGGTACCTCCCACACATTGGGTTCAAAATTTTTGAAAAAACAAAGAAAGCGAAATAAGCATCCAACTCCCTTAACATTTCACACATCCAATTATTTTTGCTAACGCAAGATTTGTTGTGAGGGATCATATATACAGGGAAAGCAAAAAATGTCGGAAATAGCATCAAATTCTAGAAAAAGTTTAGATTTGCTCGAATTGGTCACCTTTGCACGAATTATGTCCATCAAATGTCCAATAAAACCGTCACACGCTGCCCGAATATTCCTCTGCGGCATTTTGGCCCATTACCGGCGAAGCGCTTGCTTGAGGTGATCGACAATTTGGTATTTTTTAGTGCCAACCTTGCTTTTCAAAATACTCCAGACACAATAGTCCAACGGATTGGTATCCGGAGATTTTGGCGGCCATTGTGCGCTGGAGATGAAGCAAGGAACCTCATTTTTCAACCATTCTTGGGTGGCGCGTGCTGAGTGCGATGGTGTTGAAATGTCCAAGGTCTGCGGCCAAAATGTTTGCGTGCCCAAGGCTTTAATACACCTTCGATGCGAGCGATGATACGAGACACAAAAGATTTATTTACATTTAAATGCTGGAGTGCCCTAACTATAGCCACTTGTAGTTTTCCAGCCAAATACAAAGGAGCTTGAATTCCTTCACGAATAAGTTTTTTTCTGGAAATTCTCACCAAAATGCTTTTGTACGCTTAGTACGAGTGGCTTAGAAATGACAGCAGTCTGAAGTTGGTTGCAGTATTTTAATCTCACCCTGTATATGACAACCCCTTCTGTTACCTTACCCGCAAAGGGTCACAATTTCCAATACTTATATATGTCATAACTTGAGAAACAAGTCAGCGATTCTATTCAACTTGCTATGTCTAATTATCTCTACCAGATAAATATGGAACTTTTGTTTTCGCATAAAATTGAATATAAATTTTCGATTTCCTTAAACTTTTGCCAATACAAATATTTTTATCTGTATGAGATGTAGTATGAAAATGGAATACTTGCCTCGACTATATCTGTTACCTCACGCATTCCTAATAACAGATGTAATGCCTTTCTCTGCGCCTCACTGGTGGATGTTACGATATCCTCGTTTATAACTTCCCTTCCTTTTCAATTCGACTTGTTTTTTTCTCATATTCAAACAAAAAATATTTTTTATTATTAGTTTAGTTTTTTTAATATTCACACTCTCTAATCACATTCTCTTTTTCTTTCTCCCCTCTAATCGCTTCGTTTCAGGTTTGCAAAAAATGCCCAGAAATGCTGCAAAGAAAGCGAATAAAAATACAAAAAGTCTTCCGATATCAGTGAAGTTTCTAACAACAAAAGTTAATAACAAAAAAAAGAAAAGAAATCTTAACAACAAGAGCAAACACAACAACAGCAACAACAACAAAAAGACGAAAAAGAAGAAGAACCTAAACAATAGCGATACAAATAAACATAATCAAAAGCTAAAGGAATCACAGCAACAACAACGCGGCCAAAAACGTAAGAAAGCGCTAAAACAACCTGCAAATGCTAGAATAGTAACCGAAGCTCCTACCACTAGCTTTGCTGCTGATAACAACGATGCTGATGACGACGATTGTGATGCTAATTCCACAACAGCAGTAACACATTTAACAAGGCCCACTGCAGCAACAACAACAGCAGCCACAGAAAGGTGTAAATTCACAATTAATTCACAAGACTTAAAAGTTTTATCGTCGTCAACGACGTGGTTTTCGTCTGGTCTCAACCAAACAACGCTGTCATCAAATCGCTCAAGCGTTAACACTGTGGATGCTGATCAAACTTGTGGTGTTGGTGGTGGTGGTGTGAAACACAGTCCAGCAACTGCTACCAGTCAACGAGGAGTAGAGAAGCAAAAACCCCAGCAACAACAAAATACGATATTAAAATATTTGAAAAATCAAAGAAATTCCAAAAATAATTTAGGAGACAACAACGCTGACGACGTTGTTGGTCTTGGATCTGCTGAAGAAACTTCCAACATAGACATTCATAATAATAAGGAGAAGGATAAACTGCAAGTGGCAACAACAACTTTATTGTCAATTACAACAGCAACAGAAGCAGCAACATCATCTCCAGCATTGCCGCTGGCAACGACAACAACAGCAACAAACCAACGCCAATGTCGTTTATCTACACTGTATCCCATTGTTATTGAAACTCATATATCAGAAAGTCAAAGTTTGGCCGGAGAGGTCAAAACAACAAACCCTACCACAGCAGCAGCAACAACAACAAAACATTCCATTTCAAATGCAAATACAACTGGAAATTGTTCAACAAATTCTGCAATTGTTTTGAGAACAAGTGATACAACAACTGCACTTGACACCACATTATCGAAACAAACAGCAGGCGCCGACGACGCTACCAAACAAATATTGCAAAATAAATCGCCTTCGCCGCAGCAGCAGCAGCCAGCGAAACGTCGCAAACGGCGTTACTTCCATCAGCCACACGAGGTTAAAGCCCGTTTAGATAGTTTAAGGACAAGAAAAGCTCCCGGCGACACAGAACCGCAGCAGCAGCAGAAAACACAGCAGGAGCAACAACAACAACAACAGACACACAAAGTTGACAAAAGTTTAGAGATTTCACAAAAATCCACTGCTCTTGTACAGGACATCGCTAAACAGCAACAGCAACAACCAGAAGCTGGCAATAAACATAAATTCTTACAAGCGCCGGATACGGAAGAGACATTAAGGAAACGAGGTAAATAGAATTTCTGATTTTGTTTTTGGAGTAACAACAACAACAACACTTAGAAACATAGTATATACCCATTACATTGCATTTCATGTAGAATCGGTATTGGAAATGATTCGAAAGTGGGGAAAGGAAATCCTTTTCGACTTTTACATGAGAAGATCAGAGCGTCTAACTTCTACAGGAGCTTCTAACTTCTAAAGGAGCGTCTAACTTCTATATGGAAAGAGATTTTGTGCAAATAATCAAAATGTCTTTTTATACCTTCCTTCACCTTGGACACCTCATCCACCGTTTGTAACACCTCTAAACAGACCACATTATTTGACGCAGAGCTTCAAAATATGACAGAACAATTTGTATTGTGTCTAGGATGGTTGGTATTGAAAATGAGATATGTAGGTCCACCGTTTGGTATAGCCGCAATGTAACGGTACCTTCCGATTTTCGGTATTTTGATGATTTTTGACATATTTTTAACGAATTTGTCCAAAAATTGGTATTTGTGGGTCAAATTGGGGTTCTAGCTCCTGTGACGAAACATTGTATGTACAGGTCCACGTTTTTGTACAGACCCCATATAACGGTATCTCCCGATATTCCGTATTTTTGCCACATTTTTCCACGGATTTGTCTAAAGATTGGTATTTGTAGGTCATAATGGGTTCTAGCTTCAGTGGCAGAACATAGAATATTTAGGTCCACGTTTTCGTATAGTGCACATATAACGATACACACCGATAATTTGATATTTTAATTACCCTAGTCACATTTACCCACGAAATTTTTCAAATTTGGTATTTTAGAAGTTTTTGTAGATGACAATCCTTGAAGTATAAAATTGTCTATAAAGGTTTCCGTTTTGGTATGTCGCCCATATAACGGCCTCACCCACTTTATGTTTTTTTTAAGAGTTTAACAGTATGGAACACGTTTGAATTCCGATACTTTTAAATAGAAATATTTTCTTTACCCAGTTGTGGAGGGTATTACATGTTCATATTTTCATGGTCTTCCTGAATTGGTTGTGAAGGGAATTATACTTCCCCATCGGCTCTGTTGTAAGGCCGCTTTAGACCTTTTGGAACTTTACTAGAATTGGTGGCTCTTAAGAGTCAATAAGGGAATTATACTTCCCCATCAGGTCTGTTGTAAGGCCGCTTTAGACCTTTTGGAACTTTATTGTAATTGGTGGCTTTTTAGAGTCAATAAGGGAAAGATACTTCCCCATTAGGTCTGTTGCGTCCGTTGTCCTAATATGTGTGATACTGGCATAAAATATGATAAACATTATTAATTTTTCTTTAATCTTCTAATCAGTTGTAAAATAAGGACGGGCTCTAAATCAGAGATAGAAGAAAGATCATCGGTTATGTGTTCTCCCATAAGCCTATGACATACACTTAATAGCATTGAACAGTGGCAGAGAAAATATCGATTATTGCAGTCTCCTTCTCGTCCTGGCAATATCTGCAGTGTCACCACCTTCATACTTGGAAATCACTGCTCTTATGTTGCAGTGATCTCTTACTATTCCCGTTTTGTTATAATTTTTTTTCGGAGAAATGTTTCTCGAAATAAATAGCATAATGCGAATTTCACGGAGCGATCTACATCCATGCCGATTGTCTATAATCGGCATCTTAGTTTTGGTCGCGCCATAATAAAGATAACAAAACACCGCTTTGTGGTGTGCCCCTGGTGACTGATCTCCTGACGGAGCTTTCGCCGATTCTGCTACTAACATAACATCAATCCCCTCTATGAGGAGCAAAGGGACACAAAGTTTTGAAAAAAAAAAATTTATATATATATATATGGACTATAGTGACGTTGATAAAATCCTCCACAATGTCGAGAAATGTGGCTCATGTGAAAAGCGAACTATTCTATCGATGTTGCCATCGACGTCGTGCTGCACGGTCTCAACAGACTTGCCCTGAATGTAGGATAGCTGAGCAGTTCATATTGAGGTCGGAGGTAGTAGAGTTTTAATTTCAACACCAATTAACCTTTCTAGTTTTTTAGTAGAAAGGAGGGAAGACTAATAGGTCTATAGTCCTTGAAAAGTGTATGACTTGGGTTTCAAGCTTTGGGAATGTAAGTGACAGTGGCTTCCCTACGCAGTACCGAAATGTACCTAGAGAAGTCATAAAAATCACACACAGAATCGGCTCCAGAGGATCTCTGGCTACAGCCCGTTAAAGTAGCCGAATTTCTAAACCTGGAGCTGGAACCAGATTAGCAGAACACAAACACACACATATACTACTGCTACAACAACAACAACAGAATCGGCACTTTTGCCGTTGATGTATGTTGTAGCATAGCGAGAATTAAACCATCTGATCAAGGTGATTGGAAGGGTTTGAAAGACCCGATAGTCCACTTAATTTTGGGAATACCATCAATCACGTTCACATCCTCAGCAATACATTGGCGATACCGTGGATCGAGTTATCGATCAATTATAGCATCTGTGCAGTTTGAGAAGTAAGTGCTGGCTAACAAATTAGGAGTATCTAGACCGAAGTTAGTCCGCGTGCCATCTCCACGTTTTATACATCCAAGGGATTCAGGATCCTTTGAAAGGACTTCCTGGAATCTGAAAGCATCATTTACATTTTCTAGTGACTCAGTGAAGAAGGTCCATGTCTTACACTTGGCCTTCTTGTTCTCACTATTGTACTTGTTAAAGACACCCTTATAGACTTACCTGTCCATACGTTGTATGGTCTTGTTGGACTTATTATACAACCGTCTGTGTATTTGCAAGGTAAGTGGCTGGGTGATGTCAATGGCATGTCACCCACACGGATTAGTCTCGAGATGGCAGATTCTATGAATTCCCCAAAGTCCCATTCTTGGGTTCCTATGTGGTTTTTGATGAATGCCTTCGACAGAGATCTGGAATACCATCTTCTAGTGATCTGAGAAGGAAGACTCAGAGAAGACCTTCGAGCATAGTATATGATTTTCATGCCAGTTAGTAAGCGTGAGATCAATGACCTCCTTCCTATTATTGTTTTGTTAAGTTCCGCCATTATCCCGGTTACATATTTTGAGATTATACTTAAGAATAAAATCAAGGATTGACTCACCTAAGACATGGACTTGTTTAGGACATAAGAGTTAGAAAACTTTAAGGTTCTGGAATGGTTCTTAATGACCTCCTCCTGTCCTTGTTTTGAAACGTCGCGTCATTACTCCTGTTATATATTTTCAGTTTATACTTGACAATAAAATCATAAATGAACTCACCTCTGGCATGGACTCGCCCAAGACACAAGAGTTAGAAAACTTCAAGTTTCTGGAAAGCCTGCCAACTAGAGGCAGTTCTCGATTCTATGAATTTCGGTAGTGTAAAGAATAGTTTCATTATAGATGGAATTGTACGTCAAGTTTAGGAAAATTGTCCATGTTTTATAAAATCTGAGATATTTCTTGATTTGATTTTTGTTATTTTTGTCATCCAAGTTCTTGTGTTCTCAACCCCATTTCATTACAATTTTCGTAGATTTTCATTTCAATACCCCATTTTTTCATTACAATATTCGTTAGATTTTCATTTCAATATCACTTCTTTTTTATTTTTCTTAATTTCCCAATTTTTACAGAGATTTCAGTTAGAATATCAAAAGCCACGCACCACCCTTTGTTTTGTTATATACAAGTAATGCAGGCAGGCGGGCTGTAATTTGCTAGTAGTACTGAGATTGGTATAAATTCAAGATTTAAAAAAAACTAAAGAAAATCCTTAATCCAAACAGAAAACAAAAGGTATGTTTATTCTAACTGTGATGTCCTGTTCAATTCAATTCAATATCTATTTATAAGCATTAAATGTGCATCACTTTGTCACTAACAAAATGCAATCGGAAATTATTCACCACCAAAGATGGGATAACATTGCTCAAATCTAACCTTAAAGGAAAAAAAATGCCAATCACAAGCAATGGTGCATGGTTTTGGATTCATCGAAATTCTAACTTCATTAAACTCCATTAAATTGTGTGCTAAAACAATCACATTTCATCTAGATATTAGTAAGGGTTTGTCGGGAAGAGGGTATTTTGACGTGGATCATTAAACCACTAATTTTGGTTTTTCAAGAATGCTTTCCAAGAAATGTTAAGGTTCAACCACCCCAATATGAAAAAAGCTTATCTATATGAACGTTGTCAACATTGAATTTAAAATGTCCTTTACTTACCCCAATACCAAATTCGGAACTAAGGATACCGTCTTGATCTGCATCCATAATTATGCCCTCAGCCATATGGCTAGAGAGAGTGTATATCCTTAGATGCGGCCAAAACGTGCCTTATCGAAATAATGGTTTTAAACCCTAGGTTTTTTGAGCCAAATCCGTTTCAGGACATTTGGAGTTGATCTAGCGATATATGCCGTCGTCTGTTTGGCTGGCTGGTGCGCATGATAACTCTCGAAGGCAGTATTCGATTTGATCCAAACTTGATACATCGTAATATTATTGTAAATCTTAGATAGAGTTCGGAGATGGGCAATATCGGTCCACTCCTTCTGGTAACTCCCCCACAAAATGTCAACATTTTCATAGAAAATAAATTACTGCACCGAAAGAGAGAGGATTTTTCTCCAACTTTGCAAATCCTAATATTTGCATCAGTGCTAGGTCAGGTGCGAAATTGGACAATATCGGTCCACTCCATCAAGTACCTCCCCCACAAACGGTCAAAATTTGGAATAATTATTACTCTTATAAAATGAGATGTAAGAGTCCGATTGACTTCAAATTACACACATGACAATATTTTTATTAATTCAAGGTCTGGCGTGAAGATGGAATAAATCGCTCCACTCCTTTTGGTACCTCCCCCACAAAGGGTCTAAATTTTGAATATCCATGAAGGCTATAAAATACAAAGTTACTATGCGATTTCATTCAGCCTTGGCACATCTCAATATTTCTATCAACAGAAGATCTGTTATAAAGATGGTAGAGATCCGACCATTCCTTCTGGTACCTCCCCCACAAAGGGTCAACATTTTGAATAATCAAAACGATCATAAAATCCGAAATAAGCTTCCGGTTCTTTTCAAATTACACACATCACAATCTTTTTATTAATCCAAGGTCTGGTGTGAAGATGGAATATATCGGTCCATTCCTTCTGGTACCTCCCCCACAAAGTGTCAAAATTTTGAATATTCGTGAAGGCTATAAAACATGAAGTTACCATCCGATTCTATTCAGACTTGGCAAATCTCAATATTTTCATCAACTCAAGATATGTTATGAAGATGGTAGAGATCGGACCATTCCTTCTGGTACCTCCCCCACAAAGGATCATAATTTCCAATATATCTGTCATATAAATCTGCCGGCAAAACCGACAGATACTATTTAACCTGTTTTATAGTGAAGACCAGTTCATAATGCTACAACTCTGCTAAATTCCATAGAGAGCTTTAATCGTATATGTTTGCTTAAGGTCGTTATGTCGGAATGCCCTTGTCCTTCTTTCGTTAGGTCATAAGAGGACATTGTGTGGTTTTCTTCTCACCCTGTGTAATATATGTTCATATGTCCCCATTCAACACACTCATACAAACACACACCATTGATTTTTTATATCCTCATATTTTTCTCAAAACATACACACACACACGTTCTCCTTTTCCCCTCGCCCCTCCACCATATGAATGAATGGATGGATGGATGAATGAGTCATTTATTAATCAAATTACTTTACATTGATTTTCAATTTTTCCCATTTTTGTTCTTCTTCCACACTTGTTTTTTTTCTTTTGTAGTATTTCCAATACTTGATGTCGCAACATTGAATCGCATTGAGACCTTGAGCGATAACGAAGTTAAGAAACCTGCCAGCAAGCGAAAACGTAGCCAAACAGCTGCCCTATTAGGATTTAATATACCAACAACTTTACGTTCGCGACGTGTTACAGCAACAGCCCAGGCAGCGGTTATTGTTGCGGCAGCAGCAGCTGCTGCAGCGGCCAGTGCAGCAACAAGTGGCTGTGGCATTGGTGTTGGTGTGAGAACAACACCCTCTATTGCTGGTGGTGGCGGTGGAGGAGGTCTAGTGGTACAAAAGCGTCAACAACAACAACAATTGGCAGGCGGTGGTGATTTTCTTAAACCCCTACCCATTGAAGCAGGAATTACGAATTCCAAAAAACGGCCACGCATTATGTCTCTCTATGAGCGTCCCTATCAAACGGCCAATGATGGCCGGGGTGGAAGTTCGAGCCTGGTCAGCAATGGTTACATGTCAACAAGTCGTTCCAGTTCATCGGGTGGCGCTGGCATGCCAATGATTATGAGTGACTCGAATGATAGTCAGGACATGACCAATGCATATTATCTAACAGGAAACAGTGGTTCCGGCATTGCAGGCAGTTCCAGTGCATCATCAGCAGCGGCAGCAGCATTACTCGGCAATGGTGGTGGCGTTGGCATTGCCCTAAATCATGCCCCCACCATGGGTACCCTGTGCAACATTGGCAACACCTGCTATCTTAATTCGGTGGTGTATACCCTGCGTTTTGCTCCACAATTTCTGCACAATCTCCATCACCTGTTAACGGATTTGAATGCCCTGCAACAGAACATTGCCCGGGCGCGTTCAAAATCGTCTTCCTTGGGTCGCGGCATAAGTGCTGTGCACATTGAAAATGCTCGCAGTTGGAGTAGCAAAGATTTAGCCTCCATGGAACAATATGCTGGCAGCAATGCAGCAGCGAATTCCATTGTAAATGCATCGACACCATCATCCGGACCGTCATCATCCTCAGCTCTGACACAAGTCACCCAGAAGAGCAGTCATCAGATATTGACGGAAAAACTGCATGAGCTCTATCAGAGTTTGTATCGCAATGAAATGAGCGAGTCCATGGAACCCTATCATGCCGATACTCTGCTGCATGCCATCCAGGATGTGAGCAGCATTTTTGAGGGCAATCAACAACAGGATGCCCATGAGTTTTTAATGTGTCTGCTGAACAGTATTAGGGAAACTAATCAGACTCTAATCAAGGCCATAGCGGAATGTCCAGATGTGATATTAAATGGGTAGGTCATTTAATTTGTTGCCTTAAACTATCCTTACTCCTGTCTAATCTCCTGTTTTGTTCTTTACAGATATATTTCCAATCCCGAGGATACCGAACGTGATATTAAACAATCCAATAACAGCACCAGCAGCAGTGGCGGCATCATCAGCAACAGCAATCACATTTCTGTCACCTCAGCCCTCAGCTCGCTAACATCCAACTCCAAGTCATCGTCGTTTTTCTCGCGCAAATCCAAGCGAAAAGATGAAACAAAAAATTCCAAAAATTCCCGCCTTCAATCTCCGCTTAAAGATAACCAAATAGCTGGCAATATAACGCCTCAATCGAATAGTCTATTCTATTTGAATACGAATGATCTCAATTCAACGGCGGCAGCGGGTGTAACATCTACATCGCCACCATCCGTCGGAAGAGGAGGTGGGGGCGGTTCGGTGGTGACCGGAGGTGGATCATCCTCATTGGCATCTCCATCGAATTCAACTGCGACGACGGCCGGCAATGGTGGTGATGAATTAGATGCTGCCGGCGCATCCTCCTCCTCCAATTCGACGGCTGTGTCTTTACTGCTCAAGGATAAACAACGTTTGGAGAGTAAAATACGTGAATTGGGTTTGGATTTCTTCAATGATGACTTCGAGGGCATTACCGTGTCGACAACCAAATGTCTTAGCTGTGAAACAATAACGGAACAAAAAGAAACAATGATCGATATTGCTGTACCTGTACCGCAAGCGGGTTACGAGAGCAACGAATACAATACAGATAGGCCGAGTTCGTTTATACAGGTTTGTAGATTTATGGAGATGTTCAATCTTTGAGATATTCCCATTTTATGAGGGGTGTACAACAAGGAATTTATTTTATATAGTCCTAGGTCGTTAAACGTGGATTTCTTGAATAGGACTTTTGAAGTACTTACCCGCATTAAATGTGGATTTTTAAGGACATTTCTGAAAATCTCACAGATCTTTTAAAGTAAATTTTTTTAGAGTAGTTTGTGAGTACTCCCGGGCCATTAAAAATGGACTTTGTAGGATTTTTTTAAAGAATTCCCAGACCATATAAAGTAGATTTTTATACCCTATACCATATGGTGGACAGGACATTATGTCTTTCTTAATTTGTTTGTAGCAGGCAAAAGGAAACGAGATAGACCCATAGTGTCTTATGATGATCTGCATAGGATCACATTATGAGTCGATTTATGCATGTCCATCCGCCCGTTCGTTTGTCCATGTATTTTTGTATACAAAGTACAGGTCGCATTTATTGCCCGATCCAGATGAAATTTTGCACAAGTCATTTATTTGACCCAAGGACGAACCCTATTGAAATTGAAAATAATCGGTCAAAATTTAGATATAGCTCCCATGTATATCTTCGTCCGATTTTTCTTTTATTGTGCATCAAACGTTTAATATCAGCCCATATGGTATGGAATTTGGCACTTACGACCAAATTGAGCCTAGAAACAAGTGTGTCAAATTTGGTGAAAATCCATTCAGATATAGCTATAGCTCTCACATATATTTTTCATCCAATTGGTTATATTTATACCCTCAGCCATATGGCTGGAGACGGTATATAACATTTGATACGGCCAAAACGTGCCTAGGTGAAATTAAGGTTTTAGGCCCTAGGTCTCTTTGGACCAAATCCGTTTCAGACATCTGGAGTCGATCTAGCGAAGTCCGTCCGTCCGTCTGTCTGTCTGGCTGGTGTTCACGATAACTCTCGATGGGAGTATCTGATTTGGTCCAAACTTGATACATCGTACAACGTCAAATTTTTCAAAGAAAAAAATTTACTGCACCGAAAGAGAAAGGATAATCCGATTTTGCTGCAACTTTACAAATCCTAATATTTTCATTAGTGTTAGGTTAGGTGTGAAAATGGACAATATCGGTTCACTCCATCTAGTACCTCCCCCACAAAGGGTCAAATTTTTGAATAATTATAACTCTTATAACATGTGATGTACGAGTCCGATTGTCTTCAAATTACACTCATCACAATATTTTTATAAATCCAAGGTCTGGTGTGAAGAGGGAATATATCGGTCCACTCCTTCTGGTACCTCCCACACAAAGGATCAAAATTGTGAATATCCATGAAGCTAAATTAACATCCGATTCCATTCAGACCTGGCACATCTCAATATTTCCTTCAACACAAGATCTGTTACAATGATGGTAGGGATCGGATTATATCTTCTGGTACCTGCCCCACAAAGTGTCAAAGTTTTTGGATAACCAAAATGATCATAAAATCAGAAATAAGCATCAGGTTGTCTTACAATTTCACAAATCCCATTATTTCTACTAGCACAAGATTTGCTGTGAAGATGGAATATATCGGTCCACTCTTTCTGGCACCTCTCCCATAAAGGGTCAAAATTTTGAATATCCATGGAGCTCATAAAACGCAGAATTAACATCCATTCAGACGTGGTATATCTCAGTATTTCCATCAACACAAGATCTTTTATAAAGATGGTAGAGATCGGCCCATTCCTTCTGGTACCTCCCACACAAAGTGACAAACTTTTAAATAACCAAAACGATCATAGAATTCGAAATAAACATCAGGTTCTCCTCATATCTCACACACACAAACATTTTCGCTAACACAAGATCTGGTGTGAAGGTGATATATATCTGCTAATCCTTTCTGGTGCCTCACCCACAAAGGGTCACAGTTTTCAATACTTTTATCTGTCATAACATATTTATTTAGGTCCTATACGAAATGAACATTTCTTCGGAACCTACCCCATAGAGGGTCAACAATTTGAATAATCATAAAAAAGGTCAAAATATATAATACAACATTGGCTGAGGGTATACATGTGTCGGAAAAACCGACTGATACTTTATAATTTGTCAGCTACATTTTTAAGAAATATTGTAAATTTAAATATTTTTTTTAGCTGCTCCAAACCTAATACATTTTTTGTTCATATCGCTTTCAGAACTCTTGCATAACAAGTGAACGTTTTCGCAACGAAAACAAATATCGCTGTGAACAATGCTGTGGTTATACCGAAGCTATACGATCCATATCCTATGAGGTCTTGCCACGTTTGTTAATCATCCAACTGAGTCGTTTCTCCGGTGGCATGGAGAAAATCAACAGCTACATTCCCACATCATTTACGTTGCAATGTTTTTGTTCGAAATGCTGTGAACTGAGCGATGCCAACAAGTTGCACATCTACAAGCTGTACAGTGTTATTACGCATGTGGGCGCCACCATGTCTGTGGGCCATTACATTGCCTATACCTGTTCTTTGGACTGGGCCAATGAATACATTAACTGTCCCAAAGAGCAGCGGCGAAGAGCTAGTCAAGAGAGAGCTGCTGCAGCAGCGGCGGCGGCTGCTGCCATGAATGGTAGCGGTGGTACGACATTAACCACAAATCCCATGCAGCAGGCGGGTCAAACATCGTCCACAACGAATGCGAATAATGTGGGCTCCTCCAATAATTCATCGTCGTCCTCGGGTACAACAAGTTTTATGAAAATCATGAAATTTGGACGCAGCAAAGCTTCGAGCAGCGGGGATATGAGTAAACATGTTAAGCATCTGAATGGCCTGACATCTAGTGGTGGCAGTGGCAGCGGCAGCGGTGGTGGCAGTAAGGCCATTACAAATGGTATTGGTAAGTTAAGTATGAATAATACAAATTCCGCCGGCGGAACATCATCAGCATCGTCGTCATCAGCCCCAGCGTCTTGCGCATCGTCAACGACATGTCCCAGCATAAATTGTTGTGCCATGCGTTTGACGGCCCAACAACAAATGCACTATGTCCATGCGAATCAACAGAATAACATCAATGATTTCAACGAGGACTCCAGTGGCTATACGAATGGTGTGGCGTCGTCGGGTTATTCTTCGTCGAACTACAACAACAATATGCAGCAACAGCCTCCCTACAACAGTGGCAGTAGTAATAATTCATCGGGCTATGGTAGTACTGGTCGGGCCGGCACCAAGGCTTCATATGCCTCCTCCCAACAACAGCTACACAACGGCTCCGAACCGATTTGGTATATGTGTGATGATGACAAAATCAAGGCAATGACCCAGCGCGAATTCGAAGAGCTCTTATCGCCGGCCAGAAAAATAACAATTACACCATATTTGTTATTCTATGCCCGTTACAATCTGCAATCCTCCTCACCACCCAAATCGGCGGGATCGTCATCATCGCCCGGCCCCGTAACATCATCGCCGCAGGCTTCATGGTCCAATGAGAGTTTGCAAAGTTCGGGTCACAGTGCCCACAGTAGTGGTATGCGTATGTGAGGTATAATGATGACAGCAACGGGAAAACTTAAATATAAGAGCAATACCTTGATGAGTAGTAATAATAATAACAATTATAATAATAATAACAACAACAACAGCAACAACAACAATAGTAACCATGCAAGTAAAAGCCTGATAAAATGCAATTGTAAAGAGCAGGTAATTTAAGTTTATTAGTGATGCAAGTAGAAGCAAAAACACACACAGAACAAACGTTTCAAAAGAACAAAAAAGGCAACAACATGTGAATGTAAAAAAATAAGAAAAATGTTGACCCCATAAAGTATGCAACAAATTTTGTTTTGCCCCCATAATTCGCTGCAACAAAAAGAAACACATACCCAAATACTCTTTTATGTCAGTCTTGGCGCAGAAGGTTGTATTCCAGCACGTTTTGGTGGATGGATCAAAAAATCAGGCCTCAATGTGGTCGTATGAGTTCCGCAAAGACTTCCATTAAGAATGAAAGGCCTTCCCTCAATAAATTGCTAGAAAAAACTTTAAACGTAGCATAGTTGGCGATACAGTTCTTTAAAGCTTTCTAAGCATTTCAAGGATTTTCTCTTGCCAGTAGAAGTCTATCAAGGACTTTCTCTTTCCGATAGAAAATCTTCAAAGGCATTTTTTTGTCGGTAGGAGACGTTCAAGTGCTGCCTTCTGTTCTCAAGGACTATCTGATGTTCTTTCCTTCCCCCCATTAAGAACGAAACCCCTGAAAGAACTTATATTAAAGAATAATTATTTTTAAATGTCTTCTACTGGCTATGGAAACCTTTCAAAGGCTTTCCCTCAATAAATTGCTAGAAAAAAACTTTAAACGTAGCATAGTTGGCAATATAGTTCTTTAAAGCTTTCTAAGCATTTCAAGGATTTTCTCTTGCCAGTAGAAGCCTATCAAGGACTTTCTCCTCCTCATAGAAAAACTTCAAAGGCATTTTTTTGTCGGTAGAAGATATTCAAGGGCTGCCTTCTGCCTTCAAGGTTTATCTTATGTTCTTTCCTTCCTCCAATAAGGAATGAAACCCCTAAAAGAATTTCTATTAAAAAACAAGTAAGCAAGGGCTATGGTCGTGCGGGGCCGGCCATGTGATACCCTACAACACTACTATATGTTAGAAGCCCCCTAATGACCAAATCCATTTTGGAAGATTTCGCTTTTAAAATTATGTCACGGAGCACTGCCCAGATATTACCCTTAGCATTTTGACCAGGGACATTTGCCCAATATTTACGCACCCCATCGTGCTGTTAGCTGTTGTGGTCCATTTTACAGCTAAATATAATCCAATTGTCATCCAAAATGCTGGACTCTTCCCTTCCCTTCCTTAACTCACTTCTCAGGGGTGTCGATTGGCTTAAATTGTGTGATCAAGAATTTTTTTCTGTTTTTGGGTCATTTGAACCCCTAAATATTATCATCGATCATCTCCAAAAGCAATAGGGTTCTATTCTGGCCCTAGCCCCATCTCCATTTAAAATTTCGTGAAGATTGGGCCATAATTGTGATCTGTAGAGTGATTACAAATTAACATGGACAGACGGACGGACGGACGGACGGACATACATAGCTAGATCGACTCAGCTCGGCGAGATAGGAAGATCTATATATAGTTTCCTATGTGGGAAACCAATATTTCGAGGTGTTACATAATTTTTGGCCCAATCAAACTTATAATACCCCCTACACATAGTGTTGTAGGGTATAAAAATAATTTTTAAATGTCTTCTAGTGGGCAATACTTTCCTTAAAAAATTACTTGGAAGCCCTTAAGGTCTTCCTTTTAAAAAGGAGGATCCTCGAGACTTTCTATTAAAAAGAGGTCCAGAAGTTAAGAGTTTTGATTGATTAACAGAAACCTTTAAAGGTTGCATGTTGACGATATAATTCTTTAAAGGTTTCTAAGCATTTCCCCTGGCCAATAGAAGCCTTTCAGGAACTTTCGAAGGCATTCTTTTGTTGGTTGGAGACCTTAAAGGGCTGCCTTCAAGGGTCATCTGATGTTCTTCTCGTTGCCAATAAACGTCATTCAATAGCCATCTATTTCCAATAGAGGCCCTTAAATACCCTTTACCCATGGATACCCTTTAAGGTTCATTTATTGACAGTAATCTTCCCTCTGAGATATGTTCCATAGACAACTTTAAGGGTCATCTATATCCCACAGATTTACTTCAGAGTCCATCTATTGGCAATTGGGTGCCCACTTCCACCAGAAAGTCGGGTCGTAAGAGTTCTTCAACCATTCCCATAAAGAATAAAACCCCTGAAAGAACTTCTATTATAAAAATAATTTTTAAATATATTCTATTCGGCATGGAAATCTTTCAAAGGCTTTACACCAATAGATTACCAGGAAACCCTTTAGGTCTTCTTTTTAAAAGGGAGGTTCCTCGGGATTTTATTAACCTTTAAAGGTTGCATAGTTGGCGATATAATTCATTAAAGGCTTCTAAGTATTTCCAGGACTGGCTTTCGAGGGCTTCCTCTTTCCTATAGAAAAATTTCAAAGGCATTCTTTTCTCGGTAGGAGACCTTCAAGGGTCATCTCCTTCCTATTACCAATAGACGTCATTCAAGGGACATCTATTGTCGATAAAAGCTCTTCAAAAAGCAGATCCTGTTGTCCATGGATACCCTTTTAGAGTCATATATTTCCATAGACAGTCTTTAAGGGTTATCTATTGTCTGTAGACCGCCATTTAGAATCATCTATTTTCCATAGATATCCTTCAAAGGTCACCTACTGCCAATAGAACCCCTTCAAGAGTCATCAGATGTTCTTCAATTGTCACCTACTGTCAAAAGAAGATCTTTCAGTGTAATCTTTTGTACTTAGATACCTTTCAAAGACCACATATATTGTCAATAGATTTCCTTTAAGCACCACCTTTTGCAAAAATACGACCTTCATGTTTCATCTTTTGCCCATAGAAGTCCTTCAAGGGCCCCCTGTTTTCAATGGACTCCTTTAAGCGCCATCTATTGTTATTATACCGCCTTCTAGAGTCATCTATATCCCATAGATGCCATTCAATAGTCATCTATTTGGATTCCCTTTAAGCGCATCCTAATGCCAACAGATGCCCTTCAAGAGCCGTCTACTGTCAATAGACGCCCTTTAAGTGTAATCGTTTGCCGAATCGATGACATTCAATGGCCATATATTGCCTATAGAAGTCCTTAAAATTCCACCTATTGCCAATAGACACCCTCTAGGGGAATCCTATTGCCAGTAGACCCCCTTCTAGAGTTATCTATTGTCAATAGACTCACTTTAAGTTCCACCTATTGCCAACATATGTCCTTCATGTTCAATCTGTTGAAAATATACGCCATCTACTGCTAATAGACGACCATTAAGTGTAATCTATTGTCCACAGAAACCCTTCAAAGACCGTTTAATGTCATTAAACGTCCTTCAACGGGCGTCTATTGCCAATAGATGCTCTTGAAAGGTTATCCACTCCCAATAAACGCTCTATAAGTGTGTTCAATTGTCCATAGAAATCCCTCAAATGCCAGCTATTGCCAATAGACGCCCTTCAGGGATCAATAGTTATCAGTAGGAACCACCTAGAGGCCTTCTTTTATCGTTAAATTCTACTAAGACTTGCTTTACATTTCCGATAGCAAAGCTCTTTTAAAGCACTTCTTTCCATAATTGTAATCTATTGTCCATAGAAATCCCTCAAAGGGCATATATTGTCAATAGACACCCTTCAAGGATCAAATATTATCAATAGAAACCACCTAGAGGCCTTCTTTTTTGTTGAATTTTACTAAGATTTGCTTTATATTTCCAATAGCATTTCTTTTAAAGCATTTCTTTTCCGAATGAAGTCAAAATGCGGGGTGGGCCTGCGCAAGGCCATCGAATCATATTTTCTTGCCGTTTTTAAGTAAAAAACTTTTGCAGACATTTTTTAAAGAATGCCCCTTAAAGTATGCAACAATTCCTGACCAAATGGGTTATGTGTTTTTTTCTAGACAATGATTAAATATTTAATATATTTTTACAATATTTTTCATTCAAACCAATATTCAATATTACGGGGAAAAGCAAAACAACCACATGTCATTCCTTCAGAACCTCCCTTCCCCTCTTAAAACCACTACATTAACCATAAAACACGTATTATATTGTTTGTGTAAAAGAAACAACAAAACATAACATGTATGTACGTATGATGTTGATATGTTTTATATTTTTAAAAAGTGTTTTTTTTTTTTTTTTTCAAAATAAAAGAAAAACCTAAAACAATTGATACGACTATATACAATTTCTATGACCCTAGCTATACATAAAATAATAATATATATATTTAACAAAAAATATTAATATTTGGACTGATTTGTGACATACATTGTTATGGACTACATTTAAACTTAACTATTAAAAGGCAAAAAAAGCAAACAAAATAAAAAATTAATAATTCAAACAACACATACACACACAAGATTAAAGTAAAAAAAACCTAAAAGATTCACAAAACAAACAAAAAAAATCAAATATAATGTAGAACAAATCCACACACACAATTGTTATTGTTTATTATAGACAAAAAAACAAAAAAAAAAAACAACATAATTATATAAAAATTGCTTGTTCGTTTTTCTACGTTCAATCATCCATCCAATCGTTAATGATATTATGATTTCAAATTTTTATTTCAAATAAAATAAAAAAAAAAAAACAAGAAACAGGCTTTAAGTATTGTTTATTATTTTTTTAACTCACTCATTTTAAGCATTTTTTTTCGATAAATAGTGTTTTCTCTTATATATATAAAAAATTATAAAATTTAAAAATCAAACAAAAAATACAAATATTTTAGCATAGCTCTCTCTCTCTCTTAATTTTAATTAATAATTTCTAATAACCTTTGGCTTTAATTTAAATTTTAAGAAAAAATAAAAATATGTAAGCTGTAAATCAAATCGAAAATTGCAACAAAATTATAATTGTACTAAACAACAACAAAAACAAAAATAAAAGAAAACACAATAACAATAATAGTTTACAAAAATTCCGTATTTTTGGTTTTATTTATTTATAAAAAAAATATATATTTTTTTATTTTTACAAAAATATTGGCGATGTGAGAAAAAAGGAAGATTTTTTGAATTGCTTTTTTATTTATCAACTTCAGTTCCCTCTTGAAAAGGCATCTTTTTTCTCTAGAAAACTTCCAAATGACATCTATTTTTTTTTTTTTTGAGTTTTGCCTTTTAAGGCGAATATCATATGTTTATGATTTATGTGTTTGTTTCTCTTTCGAGACGAGGTTAATGATCTGAAATTTGCAGTGAAAAGGAAAGCCAGATTGACACTATTACACACTCACCACTATGCGACGCGTTTCGCCGTTGGTTAAGCGGCTCATCAGGCATATTTGGTGTGGATGATGGCTTACAAGGGTCGTTCTTTGGAAAGTAGTATATATTTCGAACTTATTGCGAATTAGCATATGCGAATTAAACACTATAAACTCTCTAAGTTCGACTCAAGTTCTATTAGCAGATCTTTTTCACAGCAAAGTTTGTTCTTGTAGTGATGGATTTTTTTGTCCACAACAACTACATTGCTTCCAATGCATGCACTTGTTTTAGTGCTGCTTTAGGAAGACGGGTTAATGGCTCTGATCGTAGAGACGGCAACTTCTAGTTGGCTGCACACCGAGGTTCGCGGTTCAAATCTATTTTCAGTGGAATGTCATCAAAGGGCGTCTAAGTTCAAAAGGATGTCTTAAAGGGTATCTATTTCCCATAGATGGCTTCGATTTTCAGTAGAAGTTATTAAAACGCACTTATTTTCAATGGGACCCTTTCAAAGGACTTTTACGGTCGTAAGATTAGGCATCTTTCAACCGCTTTTATATTGGCAATGAAACCATCACACCCTGGCCGAATGTTGCTCTACGGTATTTTGGCCCATTCCCCGCGAAGCGCTTGCTTGAGGTGATCGAGAATTTGGTATTTTTTTGTGTCAACCTTGGTTTCCAAAATACTCCAGACACAATAGTCCAACGGATAGGTATCCGGAAATTTTGGTGGCCATTGTGCGCTGGAAATGAAGCGAGGAACTTCATTTTGTAACCATTCTTGGGTGGCGCGTGCTGAGTACTGTTGGAAATCACCCTATCAAGATTGAATTCCATCACGAATGACTTATTTTCTGGAAAGTTCTCACCAAAATACTTTTGTACGCTTGCAAAAGAATATAATGAGCTGTCACTGGAATAATTTTAATAGCTGTCGGACGAGTGGCTTAGAAATGACAGCAGTCTGAAATTGGTTGAAGTTTTTTCATCTCACCCCGAGATGGAAAAAGGGTACTAAATTTGGTATTGGGTGAAAAAAAATCTATAATATAACATTGAGGTCACTGTAGGCAGGGATGAGATTTGAAAGTGGAGCTGAAATTATGAATATAATATATATTTAAATATATATTTTAATTAAGAAGTTGGATCTGGAAATGTGTAGCATATTTTGTACAAAACGTACTAAATGGTTCTGTAGTTTTTAAATAATGTATGAAAAAGAGTTAGAATTCTGAATATTGGATTATAGGAAATCGTATATGTCTATGCGAAATTGTGTAATCTGGCAGAGTAGATGATGCCTTTTACGAACTCCATATTCCAAGTTTAAGATAATTCTGTTGAAAATGTTGCTAAAATCTTCAAAATATGGAATATCTGGAGGTCTATACCAAAACATGGGCCCATACGTACATACTGGGACGACAATATTCTCAATTTACAGCAAATTCAATTTTAAATTTGTGACTCAAATATGCAGAAAAATACCTGTCGATCCCCATTGCAATTGTTTTTGGTCATAACCCCCATAAAAACATACACAATCCCCATGACCGTTTGCTGTGTATACTACTTAAAAAAAAAATTCTACAAATCTTTGATTAGCGGGTAGCCGGTGCGGGACATACTCAGAGGAGAAAAACTCAAGGCTCGGCCATTCAAAGGCCGGCAACTTACAAAAATTATGAAATTTAGGAGCAGGATATACCCAGAGCAGAAAATCTCAATTTTTTCGCACACCCAATCGTTTTGGGCAAACCCGTTATTATAGGGATTAGGGCAGAAACTTTCTGGGGATAATGACGGAACCCCTATAATGGAATAGGGATTATAACCACCTGCTAGCACGAAACCAAGTGTACTACATTTAATAAATTTTGTAAGTAGTCACCCACAGCAAACGGTCATACTTCCCATAATTGCTTTCAGGATTATGACAGTGGGGTTTATGTCCGGTCGCAAGTTTTGGATTTTCCATTTTTAATAAAAGTGTAAATTGGGGTGAAGGAAATATCAACCTAATCCGCCAATGGTTAGGTGATGCCACAACCCTTGAAATATTGATTCTAGACCCACGATTTTATGTATGCATGTGTCTACCTATCCCGCCGAGCTGGGTCGATTTAGCTCAAGAAACCTAAAGAAATTTTGCGTAAATTCAGGGTTAGGTTCAGAATAAAAACGTTTAGGGCTTATGGAAAAAATCTCTTTTTGCTTGCTTACGTACGTAATTGCGCTGCAATTGGAAGAAAAATAAGTGTGCTGAACAGGCTATTAATATACTATCCATGCTATGTGCTGTGATGGGTATTAAAAAAATTGGGAGGGACGCCTAAAAGTGTACTATTAAAATACTTAATAAGAATTTGCAGAAATTACACATTATGTTACAGTTATATGTGAGACATTTTTATACCCTCCACCATAGTATGGAGGGTATATTAATTATATATATATTCTTGATCAGCATAAAATTCTATGTCGATTTAGTGATGTCCGTCCCTCTGTCCGTCTGTGGAAATTACTCTAGCTTCCGAACAAAATGAAGTAGTAAATTTTACTCAAATGTATATTATGTATTCAGTACTTTTGGTATTGAAAATGGGCTGTGTAGGTCCTCGTTTTGGTATAGCCCTCCCGATATTCGGTATTTTGGAGATTTTAGCGACATTATTCACCGGAATTGTTTCATATTTGGTATTTGAAGTTTATAATGGATACTACAGCCTAAGACAGAAAAGTGTCTGTTCAGGTCCACGTCTTCGTATAGCCCTCATATAACGGCACCACCCGATACTTGGTATTTTGATGATTTTAGCGACATTATTCACCGGAATCGCTTCAAATTTGGTATTTGAAGTTGGTAATGGATACTGAAGCCTATTACAGAAAATTGTCTGTGCAGGTCCACGTCTTCGTATATCCCCATATAATGGTACCCACTTATATTCCTAGTTTCGCATTTGAATATTGTAATGGCTTCTGACAAAAGTTGCTGCATAGTCGTCTTATAGACCCTAATATGAACTAAATTTGTAATGGATTTTATTTCTTTGAAAATTGCCAAATTCGTTCCAAGTGGTGGAGGGTATTCAAAGTTCAGCCCGGCCGAACTTATAGCTTTTTACTCGTTTTATTTTGCATTTTAATAGCATTACTTTAGACACCTTTCAGATAACCCAAATGTAGAAAATAAAGATTTACACTTGACTTTAACGTTATGTGAGTTTTAGCCTTAACGCCATGTATACTCGAGCCTCCAGATATGACTTTAACGTGATTTGTAAATTAGCCTTTACAAAATAATTTTTCATCTAGATTTTTTAAATCTTTTATTATTTCAGTTCATTTACATCTTGTCTTGTCATGGATATTTGATTCAACCAGAGCTTTACCTTAAAAAGACTAAAAAAATCTGTTTTATTCCAATTCAATATTTTTCACTTTTTTAACTAAAATAAAATAATTGTTTTGAATCAGTATTTTTCACATTTCTCTATAAAACAATAAGATTTTATGTAAATAACTTAAGAACAAGTCAATACAAAAAAGACGAAATCAATTTCAATTTGGATAACAAAATTAAGTAAGAATTTTTGAGAAAAATTTTCTATAAAATATTAAATCATAGAAAAAAATTAACAAAGTTATTAGAAATCATTTTCAAGACATTTTCTTTCAAATTTACATAACCAACAAAAAAACCGAAATACAACCAGAAACCAATTATATTCCTAAAGTGAATCCTTCCTTCCTAGAATACAAAAACCACAAAAAACCCTCATGACAAAATGAAAAGACACAACAAAAAAAAAAAAACAATTATGAAACAAAGAGAAAAAGAGAATTATTAAATATACGAATTTATAAAAGAGAAATTATAAAAACAATTCCAGAAATAATAAAAAACTTCATTCCAAAATAACACAGTACATAGTTTAGCAAATCCATAATGATATACAGAAAGATTAATACACACAAAATCACTCCTAAAATAAATCAAATTAAGAAATGAAAAAGCTGAACCTTTTTTCAAATCCATAATAGACTAATGAATAACAAAAAAAAAATGCCTAAAAGTATTCCACAAAAAATATAAAATAATTACCATAACTAAAATTATAGCGCAAACTGTTTGTAAGCAAAGACATATAACTGATCACTTTTGTAATAATTATTAACAAGAAAAAATATAATTTATTTAAATATAGCAGTCATTCCATGGACAATTGTATGACAGAGATACAAGAAATGCTTTAAATATTTACCCTCCTCCAACC